CCATAATCTCTCGTCAAGTCATTCAACTATGATTTTGCCACTACCTGTAATACAAGAAAAATGAGTGGGTCAGGCTGGGGTGCCTGGTGAGCATATAGGATTTTCAACCCACAATAATAAGTTCATTATTTATTTTCATCAAATCACTAACCCGATTACCCGTTCCCGTTATCCTCACTTTACGTCCCTAAAGCATCTATTATAAGGGACTTATCCTAAGGAATTTCATCGGGATGGGAACTACTGCTAAGGGGATTCCTCAGCCATATGTGTCCGTAAGGCAACCATGGGGGGATGGAGTACATCTTCAAAAAACACCTACAGGTTGCGAGCCTGCTACCGTTCCACTGGACTGCCTAGAAAAGTCTGTGGTCGTCATCTATACTCCGCTAGATGACTAGATCATCTTAAACATCGTAAACATCGAGGCCTCTCATCATTTTAACACACATCATCTATTTCATATACCCATTGTTCTACCCAACATATTTGTAGATATAAATACATACACAGTCCAGATCTGAAAAATAATGTTTACATCTTTCATCCATCATAACTTTCAAAGCATAAAATATTTATACAGTCTAGATCTGAAAAATAATGTTTACATCTTTCATCCAGCATAACTTTCAAAGCCTAAAATACATATACAATCTAGATCTGAAGAAAAAGTTCAAATCTGAAGGAAAGAAGTTCAGATCTTTCATCCAACATAGATCTCAAAGTATACAGTTTAGATATGAAGAAAAAGCTTCGATCTGAGATGAAAAAGTGTAGATCTGAAGGAAAAAGTTTCAGATCTGAAAGAAAGAAGTATAGATCTTTCATCCAGCAAACATCTCAAGTAAACAGATAATATATATATATATATATATATATATATATATATATATATATCTATATATATATATATATAGCACACAATTTATATAAAATACTTCATGTCTATGTGTAAGATGAAAGTGACTATACACTCACCTGATACGGAGTGATTCGGACAGCACTTCGCTTCTTAAAATAATCTTCTTTGACGAAACCGGGAAGTTTGCTTGAAAATCGGGCTCCTCACGGGCAGAGTTTCAAACCGAAAAACTCTTTTTCTTGGAGTCTTCGGGCTCTCATGGGGCTTCCTTCGGGGGCTAGGGGGTTTTCCTAGGCTTTAGGGGGGGGGGTTAGGGGGCTTAGAGAGAGAAAGTAGGGAGAGAAAGAAGGCTTGAGAGGTGTGAAGAACCGGCTGCCCTCGCACTCAATTTATAGGGCGAACCTCGGACGTACGTTGGGCGTACCGAGGCTTCTACGCGGGGCGTTCTTCTGGCTCCGTACACACGTGTCCGATTCTCGGTGGTGGTGCGTGGCTTATCTCGGACCGCAGAATACCTAAGAACGTTGGGCGTTCCGAGCTTCGTACGCGGGGCGTAGTGCGAACGTTGGGTGTCTGAAGGTACGCTGGGCGTACCCCCTCGCACAACCTTCGTGATTTCCCACTCCAACTTCAAAAATTCATATCTTTCGCGTACGAGCTCCGTTTCCGACGTTCTTTATATCCATGCGTAGGCGGGGCCGTACTCTACAACTTTCGTTTAGACTTTGTCAGCTAAATCTCGACCTATTTTAAATTTAATAGTATGAGAAGATTACACTGTTTAACGACCGTGTAAAACTCATAACTTCTACATACGGACTCCGTTTTCGTTTGTCTTTTTATCATTGAGCTCCTATTGATGAGATCTTCGATTCTCGTTTAGGTTGTGTCGGCTAAAAATCGTTCGATCTACAATTCGAACTCCGGGTTGTGCACTGCTGATCCGAAACTTAGAAAAATCATAACTTCCTCATAATATTCAAGTAATTCATCTTTATTACTTTAAAATGGGTTATAATGGTTGACCTAGACTATTACATCATCACATCAATGCTTAGGCTCGAAACACGGGCGTTACAGACCGATAGCGATCCTTGATAAGGAGACGAATACCTTGCACAACAAGGTGGTGGGCTTAGTTAAGGTGCAATGGCAACATCATAAAGGTTCAGAGTGGACATGGGAGCCTGAGGATGAGATGATGGAGCATTACCCAGACTTATTTGTAGCAACGAACTTCAAGGACGAAGTCTTATTCAAGTGGGGGAGAGTTTTAACATCTGTTTCCTAGGTATTTACCTTTTTAAATTATGTAATAAGTTCTTTTGAAAAATAGTCTTACGCAAGGCATAAGATTGCTTACTACGCAGGGTGTAGGAGGGATTAAGAACATGGGGACTTGATGCCCTACGTAGGATCTAAACCCAAATTTTTAGGGTTATGACCCTATTTAAGGACCTTAACTCCCTTGAGGCCCTCTCTGACTTCTTCCTCTACTCTCCCAATTAGTCATTTCGAAAACCTAATATCCTTGAGCAAGTTTTGAGCCTCTTTTGTGTTTTGTGGTGTATCTTGAAGAAGGAGGAGTCCACCTTTGGAGTTGGTGAAGCTCAAGCTTGAAGATCCAGGATCTAACATTTTTCATCCCCAAAAGGTATACAGTTTGAGCCTTTATGCTTCCTTTTGATATATCTCAAGTTAGCTCATGATTTGTTATGCTTTTGTCCCAAGACCTTGGATTTATGGAGTATGATCTACTCCAGACCTATTGAGCACCATGTTCTGTTGGTTTTGAGTTGAGAAGTCATAGAAATAGGAGCTTGTACACTCTCATCCAACCATGCATGAACTATTGAGCTTTTGAGTGGTTTTTGGACTTAGGGGTTGGATTTGTTCCCTTTTGAGCCATGCAAAGGCATAAAGTTTGTGACTTTATCATTTAAGACATACCTTAGGTTCACATCTAGGAGTTGGACGTTCGGTATTAAGGTATTAAGGGCTTATTGACAAAGTTGGCAAACAATGTTGGTGTGCGGCGTGTAATCTAGGCTATGTAGGGCGTAATCTAGGCTATGCAGGGCGTAGCCTGATTTTGTCCTGATTCCCATATAAGACTCTATATTGGGCTTAGATCCTGGTACGCATGGCGTACCCCCCGGATGTTGACTTTTGTTCAAATAGATTTAGGTCAAGTTGAGTGGATCATGGCCATGGAAGGGTAAAATGGTCTTTTACCCAGAGAGAGAGAGAGAGAGAGAGAGAGAGAGAGAGAGAGAAAGATTTTGGGCTTAGACCCTTAAGTATGAATTATTATGTTAATTTCTAATTAGGGCCTTATGATGTATTGTTTAGTGTGGGAGTTCTAGTTTCGACAGGTCGGTGTGAGATTCATTTGTCTTCAGTTTGAGGTGAGTCTTCTCACTATACTTGTGGGTTATATCTCTCATCACAAAGGTTTTCGCTATTAAGACATTCAAACTGGGCACACTTATGTTTCTCGTCACGTTCAATTTGATGAGCATCTCAACCTGTATGCTTATGGTTTAAATGGCTCTACTAATCCTACTGCTTTGGATGTTTCTATTTTTCAAGACCCGTTAGAAGACAATTTTCCGTTTTCCATTCCGACCGACCTATCTCCAGTCCCGGCTTACACCTCATTCCTTTGGTCCATGTCAGACGGGTCCACTCAGTTGTTGATATCCCCGTTACCACGTTAGTCACATCTACGACTCATTCTTCTTCTTCTAACCATGCAAATGAGACGACTCAACCATGATGGGTATCGCCATCAAATGCGGACCAGATCCAAAGTTGGTATTTCTAAACCAAGACATTTTCCTGATTATGAACCTCATGGTCTTCTTGCTGCCTTGTTAGCCCAATCTGAACCCAAAGGCATTAAATACGTGTTCTCAACTTTCTGTTTTTGTGATCACGACTTCCATATTTTTCGTACTTTCACCTCAACTTCTCTTTGTAACTATTATATTTTCATATTTATGTTTTTGGAAAAATTATTACTTAGAAAACCGAAGTTGATAACGACGACCTTTTACTACGTACTTTTATCCTTTTTGTATTTTATAATAATAAAAAAAAACAGTTATCTTTTTTTTCGTATTTTTTAATCAAATAAAGTAGACGACTTTCATTTATTCGTAGGGTTATTTATTTTATTTAAAAAAAAACATTATTAAAAAAGTCCAGTTTTAGTACAGGACTTGTAACATTTGGGAGATTTTGGCCCAGAATCGGTCCAAAGCCCAGAGCGTTATCCAAGATTAGTGTCCCTTTCCCTTAAAGAGTTAAGACCATAAACACCATTGTGGAATGATTTATTTATTTTTCATTCCAAGCAACCATTAAAAAATATCATTTTAGTGTTGCATGATTTTACCTTTCAAATATAAAGGTCAAAATATTTGACCATTAAAAAACACCATTTTAATGTTTGATTGGAATGCAATCATCATTTTGATGTTAAAAATGCATCAATTTAATTTGATGGATGGAGTTGGTCTAAGGCTTCTCAAGTCACTTAGCACAAGAATAGTTCGGGTTGGGACCGATCCAAAGCCCAAAAATGCACACCTCTACTCTAGGAAACTTATTATCATTGGAACTGTAGAAAAAAACTTGCTCTTAAATTAAAATGAGTTATCAAGTTCATAGCCAAAACATATTACTAAACTTCTCTTCCCTTTAAGATTGATGCAAATTCTAGAAGACCCCAATTGACATTAATGTTAATAAAACTATATTAATTATTAAGACATAACACGGTTGCCTAGTCACTAGCACGAACGCATATGTTTCACTCCTCCCTTTCTTCTTTCTTCTTTCCTCTTTGCTTTTTTCTTTGTTCTTGTCATTCTCAAACTCACTTTCTTTCTATTCTATGTATCACATCCATTTTTCCATGGACCATCTTGTTTTTTATTTTATTATAAGTAAAATAGTTTTGAAAATAATTTGTAACCTTGTTATAGGAAAGTCTGTAATTGTCCAAATAATTAAAAAAAAAAAAAAAGTACTTTTACAATAAGTTTATAAATAAAAATCACTCGTTCACGTCTATTGTGGTAAATATTTTTATTTGGTATCTTAAAATAGGAAAAGGAATAAAAAAAAACAGCTACTGTTCAACCCATCTGGCGTATCTAATCGTATGCCGTCTCAGCCACAGCTGATAAATAATCATGTGAAAGGCATCGTGCGGTTGCGGCTCCGCGTTCCATGCTAAATGTTGTGTTGCCGCTACAGCAGATTCCTTCATCTTCTCATACCGGCTTAACTCTATTACGTCCAACACCTTTCTCAGTCCCTTTGCGCCACCACTTGAACTCACAAACACTGCCATCTCCGACCACTTCATCACGTCCATCAACGGCAGATCCTGAATCGGACGATCGGTAATCACCACCGGCACACACTGTAAAGCCATCGCTTCCACCATCCACGTCATGTCGTCGCCGTACAGAAATAAACAGAATCTGCTACTCTTTATGAATTCCCTCGTTCTGTTCCCCGGCTCCGATTCAACCTTGAACTCCGGATGCTTCTTAATTTCTTCAATTAAAGTTGACGAACTTCTCCCGCTTGGTTTTATGTAACCGAGAAACGACAGCGTGTTGTTGACCGACGATTTTGCTTTGAACGGATGCACCGGTGGGAGCGTTATGTCCTTGTGCGGGATGAACAAACCGGAAGACGTCGGGAAACAAGAGATCTGAATAGAATTCTTCTTCAATTCGACGATGTTTCTGTCTGACGACGAGTCAACGCCGGCGGCTGAGAGGTAAAAGTGATCGGCACCTAGTGTGCGGTTCCAGAAAGGGTAATTACCACGAATGTTTCTGATCAGACGTGCGAGATTGCGCGTTGAGAGAGATGAAGGGAAGGGGATTAAGAAGAGGTGAGCCTGGCTAGGATCTTCGGTCACGAAAGGACTGCGGAGGAGGGATGTGTAGAATTGGGACTCTTGTGTGGTGGTGAAGATAGTGCCTTCGGTGATGGGTGGTGTAGGGTAGATGAAGATTTTGAAAGAGTCGAGCATCTTGTCGTAATTGGAAAAGAGGGTTTCAGATGAGAGGTAGGGAGTGGTGGTGGAGAGGACATCCCCGGTGAAGGTGAGCAGGGAGAAGAGGAGGAGGAAGATGGCAGCCATGAAAAAAGGGGCAAAAGTGAAGGCTTCAACAGAGGATTTGGGTGGTAGGAAGCAGTGATTACATGATGATAGTGGTAGGTTTGGAAGGAAATGTCATAGTACTGTCATTCTTCCCGACTCATGTTACTTTATTATTTCGATATATATATATTTTAATCTAAAACATTTATTTCTCCTTATATATTAATATACTTGTTTTAATAAAAACAAAAATAAAAGACTACACCATCTACAATAGCTTTTTTTAGAAATATACAAAATTGCAAAATTGGTCCATGAGGTTTGACATTTTTTTGGATTTGGTCTAACAGTTTTCCAACTTGCAAATTTGGTCTCCAAAAGCATGTTTTGTTGTGGTTTGGTCCCTAAAGATGATAAATGTTAACTCTTACTGTTATCTGATCTCATGTGCCCCTCATATGAGGATAAAATAGTCATTTCACTTGCGCCCTTCTCATCTCTTATCTCTATCTTTATCTTGAAGATGTCAAGGCCTGAACCAAGACTATTTGAATTTGTGAGAAGATCTTGGCAGAGTGAGAGATATCAACCCAAATCGCCAAGTTAAGGACTAGATCGCCATTAAGTAAATGAATCAATACCTTGCATTGATATCCTCACATCAGTATAAATATCATAAGTATTGGTGGGGCATCGACAAGAGCCAGAGTGGTTGGTTTCTTTAAACGATAGGTTCCCAAATCAACAACAGGAGCGCCTTCTGATAAAACTCAAAATCCTTTGTCGATTGAAATCTTCTTGCATCGATCAAGGAACCAACAACCACTCAATCTCATGGATCAACAATTTTGAATTCGTCAACACAAAGCGTTTGATAGCGAACAACTTCCTCTTCATGTCATTCTTTTGCCCCGAACCAAGTCGAAATTATATGGTAAGGGCCTCAAGCAAAAAACATTTGAACTCAGGATCCATTTATCTTTCAATAGCTTCATTATTGGGTGCGAAAATGGTGATATTGTGATGCGAAACCGCTTACTCAAGTTGTAACGCCCGCAAGATAGGGCTAGCTGATTAAAGAACAATAGGATAATTAACAGTCTCAACGATAATTAGACATTATCAAAGAATGATTATTTAGGGTAAATAATCTAAACAAAAGTCGTAGTAGTCGTTAAACTGAGAGTGTGCGTATAGAGAACGTCCAAATCTGACTTCATCAGAGGAAGTTATGATTTTTCAAAGTTTCAGCGCAACAGTATACGACTCAGAAATCGAAGTATAGATCGGATGATTGTTAGGAAAAACAATCTAAACGAGAGTTGAATGTATCGTTTATATGGTTCTGTCGATATAAAGACATCCGAGAACGGATATCATATGAGAAAGTTATGAATTTTTAACGGACTTTAACAGTCTAAGCCTGTTAAAAATATAGCTTTAAAAATAAAGTCAAAATTATCCAACGAAGTCTAAAAGAAAGTTGTATATCTAGTCGAGAGCTTTCCGGAGATATAAAGAACGTCGAAAATGGAGCTCATATAAAGAAGATACAATTTTCTAAAGTTTTTCGAGAAACACCACGTGCAGGTGGGTTGCACGGTGCACACCTTCTAGAAGGTGGGGCGTGGACCACCATATTTGTGACACGTGGTAGAAAAATGGGAGGAGCAACGTCTCAGGTGTGCGCGGCGCGCAATTGTGCTATAAATAGGCTTCGGCTACTCATTTGCTTCCTCACTCCCCATCCTCTTCTCTACCAAATTCCTCTTGATTTTAGCCCATTCCCCTTAGTTTTAGGCTTCGGCGAACCCCTGTGATCTCTGAAGTAGCAGTAACTATCAAGTAGAAGCCCTGCTATGTCAGATAGCCGGTGAATAGAAGCTCCCGGATCAGAATTATGCCCGCATAATTCCCAGCTTTTCACTAAAAAGCTCTGTAAGTTAAGCTACACTCTATTTTTTCAATGTAACTTATATTTATGGCCATAAGTCATTATTATGAACCTATAAATAAGATTTATCAGTAATTCCTTATCGTTATACTGATTTATCTACTTACAGAAGTGATGTCTAGGATGGATTTAGTGAGGTGTTTAAACTGGGATTTCCAAATAGTATACTCTTTATACCAAATAGACCCTACCTCCGATATGATCATACATGGTTATTCCTTATTTAGATCTTGATGTAAACATTGGGATTATCAAGGAATCTAGACTATAATCAATATAGTCACCAGGATTATGAAACTAGACTAAGGCTTAGTGTTTTTTTACGTCTAGGTCTCTTCGGAAGGGTGTAGCGAAGCGCTGTCAAAATCATGAGTCACTCTTTTTATCAAGTGAGTGCATAGTCCATTTCATGAACATGATTTAATATAAGTATTAAATTAAAATATTAAATATCTGCTGGAAGTCGTATGTGAATTATGTGTTTATTGCATGGATTATATGTTAGGATATATACTCTGCTATGTGTGAACCAAATATCGTTCTATTTTATGTTAGGATTAAATAGATAACATCATATAATAGTATTAAAAGTAGCATTGCTAAGAAGATAAAAGAATAATAATACCTAATGATCTGTAGAGATTATAAATACACTAGAATTAGGTTAGTGTCACCCAAGGATAAAGTTGGTATTAAGGTTGGTTACAGACATTGTAATCTAGTCTAGGGATAAACATAGACTCATGGAAGATACCTAGCTCAAGTAAGTTTGATATTAGGTAGTCTCATTAGGAGAATGTGTGTAATCTAGGAACAAAGAGTAAAGTTTTGTTCCATGACACTATCAAGTGTCGATGTACGGTAGCTCCGTACGGGATGACCAAAAATGGTGGGTCCCGATCAGGCAACTGTTAGCGGTATGTATGGTCACCCCCAGAGTAGGTGACAACACTCGATCATTCTAGACGATTTTGTGAATTACGTTTATAGTGTGAGATCATTACTCACAGACGTAGATGAATTGGGAAACCATATTCATCAAATACTCTGACGGTCCATAAGCCTTTATTACTTACACCGGCAAAGGAAGCCCCTAGCTATGTAGTTAACGATTCATCAGGCGAGATAATTTCTCTCTGATAATCATTGTTGTAACATCCCAAAATTCAATGCCAAAAATTTCATTTTTAAATAAGTTATTACATAAAACAATCAATATAAAAACATTCATAATAATATCTCGTGTCAAACCAAAGTTTCAGTAATCAAACAGAGTATCATAAAACCATATCAGAGTGTAATCCCAAGGATCCAGTATGCGGAAAACATAGTGTGATGCGCTGCGACCAAGCCGACTCCTTTCCTTTGAAACAATGTACCTGAAACACATAACACATAACACAGTAAGCACGCATGCTTAGTGAGTTCCCCAAAATACAACATACAACACATAAGCCACTCGAGGCTATAGCTCTACGAGACCTTCCGGTCAATGTGTCTCAGGGGCCTTCCGGTCCCACAATCCGAGTAGACCTTCCGGTCCTACCCTGTCGACCTTCCGGTCCATACCATGTTGACCTTCCGGTCCATACACTGTTGACCTTCCGGTCCATACCCTGTTGACCTTCCGGTCCATACCAAGCACCTCATAAGATACATAACATATACATATCACATAGAGACATATATCACATACTCTTCATAGCACATAAAAATATATAAGACCTTCTGGTCATATATCACATAAGTCACATAGCTCATACAAATATATAAGACCTTCCGTTCACATATCACATAAATTCTCATAACTCATTCATACACATAAGACCTTCCCGTCACACCTAGTTACCATTCATGGTAAAGTATAGTGAGAAAACTCACCTGACATTGCTGAAGTCCCGCAGACTCCATCCCACACTGCTGAAGTCCTGCAGACTCAACCCCAGCTGCTGGATGACAGATTCCCGATCTGTCAATATCAAAACATCTCCCAATTAATAATTGGGTCTCACTACATAACCATAAGTACATACTTTGGATAATTACTACATTACCCCAGGCTTGGCTTTATTTAAGCCTAAGGCCCAATCCATAGGCCCAAAGTCAATTAGGAATCAAAGCCCAACATATGGCCCAGTTTTCCAAATTGGGCCCAAACCCCTTATATGGGCCTTACCCTAGGCCCATTAAAGTATTTTAGTCCAATTGCTTGACTTTGGATGGCCCATCAATAACCAAATCATCAAGGCCCAATAGAAGGGCCCAACAATAAACCCAAGTGAAATTAGGGTTTTCACATAAAATGACGATTAGGGTTAAGTGTTTCTCACTTAACCCATTAAAGACTTAATCCATTAAGGACTTAATCCACTAAGTCCATCATTCTTCTAAATAAGTCATATGGTGTGATTAGGCTTAATCACACAATTCCCTTCCAATGGCCCAAAAGTGGGTCCCAATAAGTCCAAGCCTATAAATCCAATATTAGGGTTTTCTAAACCCTAATTAGGGTTTCCAACCCCATCTTAGCCCATTAGGCCCAATTGATATGTCTTTTGATCAATTAAGGTTCACTAGACTCATTAAGGTTTCACTAGGCTCATTAGTCATCTGTTTGGGCTTTTAGGTCCATTAAGCTTCATTGGGCACATTAGGGTTCATTAAGCCCATTAAGCCTCATTGGGCCCATTAGGGTTTCTTACTCCCTTGTCCAAACATCCAAACGAGTCAAAACACCATCAAAGCACACCGTCACCCGACACGGCGGCCGGTGGCGGCAGGAGGCGGCAGCCACCACCCTACGGTGGTGGTTTGAGTTTTCTTATTATTATTTTGGCACCATTACAATGTACAACTCGATAATACACACACACACACACACTAAGTAAACACGCACCCGCAACCGCCCTTGTGGTGGCCGGCGGTGGCACGTGACGGCAGCCACCACCTCACGGTGGTGGTGATGCCCTTTTTCCGACCAAATAAACACCCACACACATACTTCTAATGGAATGCAACCACACACACCTAAACACGCAGTAAAACACGCACACAGCCTACACTCGGAACAAAAGCGCAGCCACCCTTCTGGTGGCGGTTGACGGCGGCAGAGGCGGTGGCAGGTGGACAAGAAGGTGGCAGCAGCTCACGGTGGAGCAACAATCCCCACGAACACGACAACCACCTTGACTGAGCTATCCACAAGGACTGGCGACCATTTACCTTCATAGAAACGCACCGCGGCGGCATCATCTACCGGAGATAACGGCGGCAGCGGCGCTGTCGTTTTGCTTCCCCTTCAGTTCCGTTAGAGCAGCGATATCTCATGTCCATCTTCGTCTTCAGCAACCACGGGAGTCACGGCGGTGGTTTTTCCCAGTCACACACATCGTGCATAGCGGCGAACACAACGCAGTTCACCGGAGGAGAGCAGCGACAGTCGTCTGTCGGCTTCTTGTATTGCACTTCGTCGCTGGCAGCAGCTTCGCCGGCGATGTGGTTGCGGAGGACTCCAGCTTCAACGACAAGGAGGCGGTTGGTGATGGTGCTCCGGTGAACTCCGGCGGCGATAGACATGGCGGCTGCAGAGAGAGATAGAGTGAGGGTGGCGGCTGAATGAAGCATCTAGGGTTAGGGTTTCGCATGACATATATACCCGGCACCCTTAAAACATATATCCATAATAACATAAATGGTCCCTCCCCATAGGATTCTTTTCACAGAAAGCCCACAATTTACACTTTCAACCCTGGCTTTGGAAATCTTCTTCAAATTAAATCCAATAATTACCATTTAAACCCTCGGCATTAAAATCCTTTACACCTTAGGTACAAAATTTACCAAACAGCCCCCAATATCTTAATTATGACATAATCAGCCCTTCCACCTTATTTCCTTTTAAATTAAATCCAAATAATTATCACGAAGCCCCTTTCTTCATAAATATTTACAAACTGAGACTGGAACTACACTTTTAACCCTCAACTTCCAGATTATGACAATTAGCTCATGGGAGACATCCTTTTATATATAATTATTTATTTTAGGGCTTCTATTCGTTCATTAATTTGTTTATTTATTTAATAAATAAACAG